CACACACACACACACACACACACACACACACACACACACACACACACACAGGGCAGCTAATCAGCTCACTGCGTTGCTGATATTAGTCTGATAATGTCTGGCTCAGAGGGCAGACTTTAGTTTGTACTGAACACTGTGCTTTGGTTTTTAATCAGCGTCCTGTTTTCTCAGGCAAAAGCTGCACTTCCTCTCTCCGCTGTAGCCTTGGTTGGCTCCTCAAACTGCTGCCTGTCGACTTTTCTAAGAAATGTTCAGTCAAAGCTGAATCTGAAAGTCTCAGTAGCTGTGGCTGGAAGCCACTACCCTTTTCCCTTTTTTTAACAATGTTGTTGTAGTCATAAACATGTGAAATGGTGAAAAGAGTAGAGGTAGCCCTATGATGTCACCTTCGATGCCGTTGATTTATTTAATTAATTTTTTTAATGAAACAATCCATCAAGGACTAGATGTCCATGAAGGTTGTTTTTTCCAGGCTAAATTCAGTCAGCTAGGCATGGCCTTTATTAGCCCCAAACTACTTTTCCTGATCTCTTAGCAACTTTTAAAGGTGAGAAGTCGGCTTTTCTTGTTCTTTAAGAGATGCGGTTGTTCACCTATATTGTACTGAAAGGTGAAGTGATTTCATCATTTCTGCTGTCCCTGTTGGTTGTATAATAATGTTTGGGCTTAAACAAAGCTATCTTCAGCCTTCATTTCTGTCTTTCAAGAAATCGGGTTCAGATTTACATATTCGGTTTCTCTGTGGTATTTTCGATTGGCATAGTGGTGTAATGATTAGCACAGTTGCTTCAGAGAGGTCTTTTTCCCTGAAGCTTGCAGAAAGGTATGGACACGTTGAATGATTTCTGTCTCTCCAGGTTAAAACTGTGATATATCAATCCAGGTTCAATCGGGACAGGATAAGTGGTGAAGAAAATTAGGGACATCCTTTCAATTTGCTGTCCAATATAGATGTAAGAGAGAGGTGTTGTTTTTCTATGTTACAAGAGGTTGTCTTATTACCTTTCCTTTTTAAACCAAATGTCATCTTCTTTTCTGCTAAGTCCTTTCCAGAATGTATCTGCAGTGAAACCTTCAGTTGGTGTTTCAGAAGAACTTATCTTCTTTCCTCAGTCTGATTTTGAACATGGATACAGTCCATCATAGATCTTGACTTCCTTCTGTCCTGGTCCAGGTGTGTCAGCAAATCACTGCCGGGTCACCGGTGGAGTTCTGGGCATCCATTGGAGCAGCATCATAAGCCTGGGTTGGTACCCTCTAGCAGATGGGAGAGCCGGAGCGAGGTGTTGGGAGTTCTGCTGCCTGGAGCCAAAGTGCAATGCTGTTTGGAGTCTCGGCGGTCGCTGTGTGTTTCTTAGCTGCTCGCGTGAAGGAGGCTGCCCCATCTCCATCCTGCCTCAGCCCCACGAGGAGTCCCTCGGTCTCCTACAGCTGCTCTCCAAGGTATGGTTGTAAAAGAAGAGATTGTCTGTTCTAAGAAAACAGCATCTGTCTGCCTTTTTTGGATGATACAGTCATTGATTGTGATACTGTTATCAGATGAGAATTTTTTTTTTTTTTTTTTTTTAAAGACAGATTAGGGAACTTTTGTCTAAACGCCACTGTTTTTGTAACTTCACTTTAAGGTCCCTGTCAGTGTGAGGCGGAGAGCGATTCGCCGTGCACCACCTACAGGAAGCCACAGAATACACAAAAGACCCCATATCCGCTCGGTAACGTGACAGAAAACTGATGTGAAACTCATGTTAAAAAGTTTTCATATGACTCAATGCAGTTCTGTACAGCTGCATTTTCTGATTTCAGTAGAACATTTTCAAATTTCATAATACATTTGGAGATGCTTTTCCTATTCTGTGATAGCATTTAGTATGTCCTACTCGTAAACTGTATAAGTTATTTGTACACAGGTACAATTTCAATGAGACAAAATGTTAAAATAAAGTACGTAGGTTTTTTTTTTTTTCCTCCATTAAAATTACTGGCTAATGCACTCTCAGTTTTATAAAGCAGGCCATTCCTCCTACTCTTTTGACTTGTCACATTTCTACCCTCTTCCCTGCAGTCACACTTATTGGTTAATTTGAATGATACATACATATCTGCAGATATGAACCCATACATTTCTGATGTGATTCCTCAAATCTCCCCAATTCCAGACACAGATCTGCTCTGATTTCTGACTTTCTGCCTACAGGGAAGCTCCAACACAGAGGCAGCTCAGCCAACATCAGCAGCACCCAGCACCATCGCTCTCATCCAACTCTCCCAAAAGAACATAAGCCAGATAACAAATGGGAGTTCAGGCACGCCTCCTGCTCCATCGCCGCAGAACTCAACGATCAACGTCGCCCTTGATGCTGCTGCGTCGTCTTCCAATGACAGCGATGTCAGCACGCCCACAGCAGCTTCTTCGACCATCAACACAACCCCGACACAGGCCGGTAAGTGAGGAATCTGTGGGTAGCAGTGAGTGTCACGTCCCCTGACAGCCATCGCCTATTTTTGGCTTGTTCAGTAATATGTCTTCATGTATTAACTATGAATTAATTAATAATGTAACAGTACTGAACTGGTGTGAAGTCAGACAAAAATTCCTTTTCTAAATTTGGTTTAAGCTTTCAGCTTGTATATTTCAGCCTCACATACTCATAATGTACAGAAGACGCTTCACCGTCCGTTTAACAGAATGCGACTGTTTACTTTGCCCACACATTTTATGGAAGACTGCTCACATGTTATTTTTCCCAGATGAAATCAGTGTGCTCTGTGGGTGTGTAGCTGAATGAGAGTAAGCTGGAGGAATGTGTTTTGAGAGAAAGCGGCCAGACTTCTACAGACAGGACTAACTCGTATGATCAGTCCGTCCTCACTTACAGAACCATCTCTGTAGAGAAACTGGAAAAAGAGCAACAAGCCAATCTCTGCATGTCCACACTGAAAAAGCCTTTTGACTTTAACAATAGAATTGCTACACCTTCAATGCGGCTTGTGGTTTTATAGCCACAGTCAGTTTATTTGAAATTCATAGTAGTTACACTTTTACACAGTCAGTGTATTATTCCTGGAGAAAACTAGCAAAACATTTTTGAAAATTGATATTATAAACTCTCCAGTTTCCCTGGAGGAGCTTTAAAACATCTGAAGAAATCATCTTGATGATGCCACCAGAGTTTTAAAAAAATAGTGTTTTAAATAAAAAGCCTGTTGTGCAAACTGAGCCGGGTGGATTGAAGGGCAGAGGTGTTTACCAGGCAGGGAACATCTAGCACTAGGGTTCGTAATGCTTGGCCTGGGGGCAAATGGCAGCTTTTGGTAAATTTTTGTGTGCCCCGCGGGCATAACAAGGAAACATTTCACTGCTGATCATTAATTAGGGTTTCTCCTGGTGTCTTATTTCCTTGTATTTTAAATAGGGCATAAAAAATATGACTAATTCATTTACTCAAAATTGACCCTGATTTTTTCAGAAAAGATTCTCTGTGCAAATGTTGTGTATCCATATAGTGAGTGTGCCACAAAGAAATTAAGCAGGTTTTTTGGGGGGGAAAGGGCAAATTTGCAAGAACAGAACTCTAAAAAAAAAGAGTCCAGGAGCAATATATTTGAACATGTTCTATCAGAAAACCAAAATCACCCATTTTTACGTACATCACTACGACAGGAACAAACTACAGGCTTGATTTCATTGAAATGAGTCATCCTCAGGGTGTGCAGGAACTGTCAGCATTTCACAAAGTTGGACCTTTTTTCCTTTACTTGTTAGATTAACAGCTTTTAGCTCATCTGGTTAAAGGATCAATGAGCTTGTGGAATGGTGATGCATCCTCCACAGTTCACAAAATCTGTCCACAGTTCACAAAAATTGCAGGCCTAAAACCTAATGGGTCTTCACACAGATGTGTGTGACTCAGGGTCAATAGATGTTCATTCGTTTGTGCCTTAAAACTAACCACTGTTTTATGCCACTGTATCAGACTAAATGCAGCATACAATAATTCATTTTCTTCGGGAAAGAAAGTTTCAGAGTCAGTTTTTAGTCTTTAGAGTCAACAGATGTAACAAACTGACAGTTGTTGAGTTAAAATGGCAAACAGTTGCCGATATGCACATTAAGTTCAAATATTACAACTGATTTTGAATCTAATGTTTCTATTTGTCATGCTTAACTCCAATATTCACTCTCCTTTTAGTTCTTTATGTGGTCTCCATCTGCTCTCGGGGAAATCTTTGTATCTTAAACTGCTAAATGCTCCAGTCTGTTCAGCAGCGAGTTAATCGGCTCGTTAATCTTTGTGCACTTGGTGTTTTGTGTACAGTTTGTGTACACAGTTTTTGTCTCTGCCTGCTGCTTCTGCAGCAGTTACTGCTGTCAGCATTAAGAGCAAATTGAAATGAAGACAAAGACACTGAAATGATTAATAAAGCTGTCAGAAGCTGCGCAGTCTGTGTATTGCTGTGAGTTGTGCCTGTCACATCTGTTTATTGCCTTCATTGTAGATATCTGATTACTGATAGTAGCAGTTTTAACCATTGCAAACAGTAGATAACACTCGTTTATGTCGTCTATGGTACATGTGTAAACTCACATATATTCATCTCTTCCTTGAAGTGACTGAGTGCTGTCCAAATCACTCAGAAAAGAACAAAGGAGGGAAGTTCATCTATATTTGATCTATATTTTGGTGTTAAAATGTCTAATATATGGCCACGTTACAGTATTCTTTGCCCTGTTTGAGCTGTTAACAAATGTATTTAGTTAATCACATTGAGAATATTTTAATGTATTTGTTTTTTTAGGGGGGTTAATGTAAAAATGTATTTTTTTTTTTAAAAAAGAAGAAGAAGAAGAAGAAGAAAAAAAAGGTAATTTTACCCCGTTGCCAGGTGGTTTCTAGGCAATGTGATGAAAACTTGTCATGCACAGTTTTTTGTGTGGATTTTGTGGATATAAATATGATTCTATTGTCAGGAAATAAAAATTATCCTGTTCTTTTTATAAAGTGTTACAGGCACATCATGTCATAATATCTGTTACATATAAGAACCTCCAGGGTTCTACGGTGTGCCCGAGTGCCAGTTCAGGTTGCTTAACCACTGGTTAGAGGGGTTCACAGTCAAAGAAACAAACCAACACATACACAAATAAAGTTTGTTTTGCAAGAAAGAACAGATAAGGATTGTGTAAACAAAGGCAGTGTTGTATACACAATTTATTTTTTTAACTCCTTTTTGCATGAAAAAATGTTTGGAAACCATAATTAATGACGTTATAACATTATTAGAATATTTGTTACAACACAGAAAGAGCCAATGGAAAAAAACGTTCCTGTGTAAGATAAAACTGACCCCACTTGGGCATTTCTGTCACCAGTACTGGTTGGTTGCTTGAGGGTTAATTCTATCCATTTCAGTATTCATTTTCTAATTAAATATAAGGTTTTCGATTAAGTGACTGTTTTTTGGGGTGTTTTTTTTATGTTAAATGTTCTGTTTTTTATCACAGTGAGGGAGCTGGTGGTATCAGCAGGAAAGAGTGTGGAGGTAACGCTGCCCCTCAACGAGGTCAAACTTTACGCCTATGTGGTCCCAAATGGTGAGACCAATGGAACGCTGTATGAAATAATGCAGTCTTTTCATCAGTTTCCTGACACCTGAGGAAAAATGAGTGTGTAGGAGGAGCTAATTATGCATGGAGTGGATTTTTCTATGCGTACCAGTTACTAATTATTAATAAACTGTGCGTTATTTGTGCTGTTCAGTAATGCATGGACTAAACTGCGCTTGACATGAGTCTTAATCATTTTGTACGTCATGCTGAACGCTTGTCAGAGAATTTGTCAGAGAAATCTATGCTGAAAAAGATTATAGAGTAACACACATCATGAGTCTGTTAATCCCTTGAGCCCTCCTTAACATGCTGCAGTGTAAAAACGTTGTATCTAGTAGATTTTATTTGAATGCGTACATTTTTATTACACTTGGGTATTTATTTTTTATGTATTTTTCTCTACAGGGACAAACTATGCATTTGACTGGCGTCTAAAAACTCATCCCAAAGATTACAGCGGGGAGATGGAGGGGAAGCACAGCAAGACTCTGAAACTCAGCAAGGTACAGATCACAGTTTCATATTCATGTTTGCTATAAATAAAATCATGCAGGTGGCACTCTGTTGACCATGTAACCAAAAAGGATCACTTCTTCTTTCTGGTTGACTCGATTCCTTCTCTTTGGGTCTCCTCAGCTGACCGTGGGCCTGTACGAGTTTGAGGTGACAGTGGACGGGGAGGGCGCCCACGGAGAAGGTTACGTTAATGTTACAGTCAAACCAGGTATGAAAACTCTTTAGTTCCTGTCATGGCTGCTGATTTAGCTTCTTTTTACACTTGTTCTCAGTGGAATATTTATGATTTACATTTTTTTTCTCAATAATATCATTTTGTAAGACTTTTGGGGTCTCTGTGACTGTTTATTCTACTTTTGAAACCACCTTATAAAATCAAGGTCACGTGAGGATTGTAGCCAGCTGTCACAGAGTAAAAGGCAGGGTGAATGTAGTGTTCACACCCACGGGCAGGTTAGATTTACCAGTTAAGCTAACGAGCATGTCGCAGGCACTGGAAGAACATGGCACCGCCACGCCGGCTCATCACTGTGCAGCTGCTGTAAATCACAAATGAGAAACGGTGTCAAATAAAGCTACACAGGAGAGCGATGTTTTAATGCTGAAGCTTTTATGTATTAGTTGCAAAATTATGTAGTACTGTTAAAGTGTGTGGAAAATTAACTCTCTTCTGTAGCACCAAAACATCTCAAAACAGCTCTAAGCAAGTGATAATTCACAGCAGGCGCGTTCTCACTCCTGTAAATTAATCCTTTGTGTGTGGTGCTGCGTAGCTGCAGAGCAGTCAGTGTGGGGTTTGGGTGGGCGAGTGTGACTACACCAATCAGGACAATTCACTTTTACCTGTGCTACCCCCACACATCATCAGCAGGTTAATGTTACTGTTAATGTAATTGTTTAATGTGTCAGACGCATGCTCAAGCGCACCTCCATGTGGTGACGTGTAGAAAGTTCGTGGTGTGAAACCCATAGACCGTATACAAAGTTGAGCGGTTAGAAGCAGGAAAAAATGGAAAGCGTAATAATTTGAGAGAGTTTGACAAGGATCAGAGCATCTCCAAAATGGCAGCACTTCCTGGGTCTTCCCGGTCTGCAGTGGTCAATATCTATATGGTTCTGATAGAAAGGTGTCAGAATAACCTGTGCCAAGCAGATTTATGGGCCTGCATAGCTTCAGACCAGTCAGGGTTCCTATGCAGACCCCTGTCAATCGCAGAAAGCCCAAAAAATATGAGACATTTGAGCATTAGAACTGAACTTTAAACAATGGAAGGAGGTGGTTTAGTCTGATGGACCATGTCTTGATGTGGATGGCCAGGGTGTGTGCACTGATTACCTGTGCCACAGCACATGTTTGGGTCTAGTGGGTCCAATGGAGCTTTTGCACATCTGCATTCGCTTAATTTTGCAAAAGTGGACATCAGGACTTGGTGGAAAAACACTGGCGTGAGAGACGTAAATGACTGTTCGTGTGTGTAGTAAGATTATAATGTTGATGCTGCTTTACATAGCCATATTAGATTTGCAAATTACATGTGCTTTTGAATTATACCAGGACTATTTTAATGTAACCTGTTTATTTTATTTTAATTCATATCCATAAATCTTCATTGTGTTTGTTTCTTTTATAAAGATTTGCAGTTGTAATGATCTGTATGTTGCATCTAATGAAGCTAAGCAGTCATGTAAGGTGGTTAATCTTCTGCAGTGTTTTGAATGTACTGGTCCCCCCCCCCCCTTGAATTAATACAATTGCCTGCTAAAAAGTACTCATTAACCACTTATAAGGGAAAAAAATCCTTATTGCTGGAAGACAGCCTGGCTTTTCTCCCACACATGGTTGTATTTCTGTATTTGCCAGGGTATCCTCTAACCTGTTCTTACTGCCTCAGTCACTAATGCCTAATGTGCAGCTCAGTAAGCGAGTTAATTTCTTATTTCCACCTGACAGAGCCACGGGTAAACAAGCCTCCTGTTGCCGTAGTTTCCCCAAAGTTCCAGGAGATCTCCTTGCCAACCAGCTCTACGGTGATAGACGGCAGCCGTGAGTCTCCCACATGGTACACACACAGTCATTTAGCACCAGTTAAAGAAAGGAAAACCAAATCCTTGTCTGCCATTTACAGAGAGCACTGATGATGACAAGGTGGTGGCGTGGCACTGGGAAGAGGTCAAAGGTCCTCTGAGGGAGGAGAAGGTCTCTGCTGACACCCCTGTACTCACCCTCACCAGCCTTGTGCCTGGGAACTACACATTTAGGTAAACAGAAATCACACTTATCTCAGCGAGATTAGTTGTGAAGTCTGAAAACGCACACCTGTTTTGTTAAAGTGTTGGCCTGCAGACAAATGCAGCTGAGTAAAACTGACTTTACAGATGTTACAGAGGTGTTGGGAAGCTGGAGGAAGTAATTATGCACAACCCGTGTAAGTAAACAGGAAAATCCGTAGTTTGATGTGAAAACATTTGGATACTGTAGCACATCTCTAAATACACTGGGCAACTAAAGGAAATCTTTTTTGTGATGTTCTTTTAGTTAGCATGGACATAAAAAAGAAAAAGAAAATTCTCTCCTTGTTAAATAAATAACAGAAAAAGCAGTCCCTTTTGAAAATATCTGATTGATTCTTTGGTACTCAGCTTAACAAGTGCATTTTAGTTTCTCTAATATGGCCTCATTATGTGGGCAAGTGCGTGTCTTCATGACCTACTCGTATTTTTGAAGTGCCTCCATCTGGATCATTTTCAGAGAGAGATTTATGATTTACTTGACAAAGTGTTCTTCTTTTGATATGCTGGCAGCAGCAAATAATAACAGTGAGCTTTCTTTAAAACAAATTAAGAAATATAGACCCGGAGCACAGCTTATGGAAGTCCGCTAGAAACCTCTGTGTCTTCTAAATTTATACAGTGGGAAGGTTAAACGTGATGCGACCAATAAGTATAACCTCAGATATCAGTTTTGTTAAATTGCTGTTTATTTGGGTTTATATTTGAGTAGCATATTACAAATTGTGATATTTTTTTAAAATATAGTTCAAAAAGCAAAGAATAAATACTAAATACTTGTTGTGTAATTGACCTAAAAGCTAAAACAAAAAAAACAACAACCCCAAAATAGTGATGCGCTGGTTCTGAGTTAACGTCCATCATTTCACTGCTTGGCTTATCTGGGTTGACATCATAAATTTGTAGGTTTATATTTGTGCTATTTCAAATAAGGCTTGAATAAGGGCTGAAAGTCTTCAAACAACGTTGTTATTTATTTATGGTAAATAATGTTTTCCTGGCAGAAAAGTCAAGATGAATCAGAAAAGAAATGCAAAACTAAGCATCTTCTATGAAATTTTGGCAAAAAGATTTTAATTTCTGCAGCACACATGTCTATGGTTGTCCCATAAATGCATCTCCATCTTCCTTTTGTATCAGTTTGACAGTAACTGACTCGGACGGAGCTACAAGCTCGACACAGGCCACTCTCTCCGTTAACAAAGCCAAGGACTATCGACCTGTGGCCAACGCCGGCCCAAACCAGGTTTGTCCTCTCTGTTGTATGATGCCCCAACCAACCCAACCCCAAGTTATTTACGCCAAACTGCGGCAATCCTAATAACTTTTCTCTTGCCTCTTCCAGGTCATCCAGTTACCACGCAACTCCATCACTCTGTATGGCAACCAAAGCACCGACGACCACGGTTCTCTGTCCTATGAGTGGTCCCTCAGCTCAGAGAGCAAAGACAAAGTGGTGGAGATGCAGGTACAATACTCCACACAGCTGAATTCACGTGTTTTGGGTTATTTTTCTGTGGATAAGATCATCGTAGCTAACAGTGGCGTATACTGTGCTTTTCAGGGTGTACGGACTCCCATCCTACAGTTGTCAGCAATGCAAGAGGGAGACTACACCTTCCAGCTGACTGTGACGGACTCAGCTGGACAGCAGGACACTTCTCAGGTCACCGTCATCGTGCAGCCAGGTAAACAGCTGGAGAGTTCATGCCACCTCAGCAGATATCACTTCCCAGCCATCACAGATGTCACACATTAGCTCAGGATTTTTCAGTGTTTGTTCAACTCTGAGCTATTGTTCACCATATGGAGCGAATAAATCTCTTTAACTTGACATTTAAGAGATGCCGTATCTGAACACAGTGTACCCTGTGTGGCTTCTTGCTCGCCCCTTGTCTCTTCCAAATTTACACATCAAAGAGCAAATTGAGCCAGTGTGTAAGTCGCCATTAATTTGTGACCTTTCATGACGTGTGAGGAGAATGTCGGCACTTAAACTGCTCCTGTTTAGCAAACAGTGACGGGTAATCATATGAGGGAGCAGAGTGCACTCAAGGTGATAAGCACTTTGGAGACTGGAAATGTACTGTTTTATGTTGGACCTCGAATGCGAACACACAACAACAAGGTCAAGGTCTGCTAGGTTTAGACCGAGGCTATCTTGTGAGTCATCGCACCTGAAAGATATGACGATGTTATTAGTCGGAATCTAATTCCAGGTACTTCAGAACATAACTGCTGTGCTTTAGTTACTGTCAGAAAGACACTGGTCCTTTATATCATAGAAGGGTTTTCGTTACAGTGATGTTATTAGCTGTGTTATACAAATATTGGGTTTTCTTTCGTCTCAAGCTAGCTCGGCTTGAAATACTGGTCAGTCTCTCCAAATCACTGAAAATTTTAATATTGACCCCCCTGAACGCCCAGAGCTTCCTAGTTTGAGGAGGCCTGCTCCCCAATCCAGGTTTTTCGGACAGTAATTGTAGCTCTGTGCTTTAGTAGTTTTCTCATAGTCTCATTATATACAACTGGACTTCTTTTTGTAACCAATGGAACCGGACTCTTCTGGTCATTAGAGAGATTGCAGATACAAAGCACTTTGTAATGCCTTCAGTTTTCTGATTTGGATTTCCATCTTCTACAACCTCAATTCGGAAAGAGTCGGAAGTCTGTGCAAAATGTAAATAAAAACAGAATTGAATCATTTGCAAATCTCATAAAACCAGACTGTTGTCACAATAGAACATAGAAAACGCATAAAATGTTTAAACTGAGAAAATGAAATTTGATTTAGGTAAAACATCTAAAAACGAAATTGTGTCTTTGTTTAAATGTATTGCCTCTCTTCTATTAAGAGTCGGTGAACATTTGGGGACTTTCAGCATATCTTGATGGTGCCTTCCCAGATGCGCAAGCTACCAATTCGATTGGTACCGATACACCTCCGTACCACCAGACTTTTGAAAAGAGGGTTGATAATTTTCCTCTTTCGTCCAGAGGATGCAGTGTTTGTGTTTCCCAAAAAGAATTTCAAATTTGGATTTATCTGACCACAGAATAGTTTTCCACTTTGCCTCAGTCCATTTTAAATGAGCTTTGGTCTAGAGATGACAGCAGCATTTCTGGCTCATGCTCACACGTGGCTTCTTCTTTGCATTACAGACCTTTAATCTGCAACCTTTGACCTGGCAGACGATGATTTCTCCAAGTCTTCCTAAGTCCATGCAGTGATTTCATGACATAATCATGTCTGTTTTTGATGCAGCACTGAAGGCTCAAAGATCACAGAATTATAGATATATAGATAGAGCCTACACTTTTGATCATATTCTGTAATACATTAGATATTTTGCAGTCTTTGCAAATTTATGTTGAGAAAGATTATTGAAGTTTCACAGTTTGTAGATGTACCTTTTTGCCAGTTAACCTGATGAGCTGCAAAATGTTCCCCCAACTCTTACTTTTCAAATTCAAAACAAACTAAAAATTTTCATATAACACTACTGGTTTAAATAAATTCGCTTTGGGGATCTGCTGATACCAAGAGCAGATCCAATGTTAAGTCAACAAACTAAACAATTCACACATTTGCAAAATAACCAAAGCACTGCTACAGATGCATTGTAAACGTGGAACAACATAGATTTAAATAGAATGGTTTGACCCGTTGAGGCCTTGCCCAGTCAAGCTGATCCAAACACTAATATTGAATCTGTCCTTCTATACTGTAATTTAGTGTGGTCCAAATAATGGAGTTGTGTGTGTCATTTTCACATTACATTCAGAAAATAATAAACCACCAGTAGCAGATGCAGGACCTGAGAAAGAGCTGACGCTGCCCATGGATCACACCACACTGTATGGCAATAAGAGCCACGATGACCAGAAGATAGCCACCTATCAATGGACAAAGAACAGGTCAGATAAATATGGATTAATGCAGTTTGTATTTTTTGTTGTTAAAGTCTAGAATAATAGTTTACCTCAATCATAGTTACTGAGAGGTTTATAATATAAAACACTTGAATTCACAGGTTTCAGTCGCTGTCACTAACATTTCCACATCCTCTTTAATTCCCCTTGTCCCTCCCTTCATGTTTCGATCTTTTTTTGGTCCGTCTGTTCCTCTACCAGTGGTCCCGATGGTGTGAAGATTGAAAATGCAGACAGCGCCGTTGCCACGGTGACAGGTCTCAAGGTCGGCACATATGAGTTTACCCTGACAGTAACTGATGAGAGGAAGCTGGAGAGCAGCGACACTGTCACAGTCATCGTTAAGGAAGGTACGGAGTTGTGTGTTTGTGTGGGTGTGGAATAAGACTTTTCCTTTAAGCAAAATAGCTGCTTTAGGTCAAAGTCAGACAGCTGAGTATTACGGATGTTTTGAAATTTACATGTTAATTACAGAAGCAAGAGCTCAGTTATTATCTGGAATAACATAAACACGCTCGGATATGTAGACAAACGTACGGTTTAATGCATGCACATACACACAGAGACCGATATAAATATAAACTAATTCACTCTAGTGCGGTATTTAAAGTATTTGTGCTAATACATGCCTTATTGCATCAAATGCCTTAGCTTTATCATTATATTGAATTTTAAATTTTAAGCACTTGGTAACAGCAGGAAGGAAGAACTCCCTTTTAACAGGAAGAGACCTTCTGTAGGGCCAGTCGGTTACCCAATATGGGATAAATATGATCTCTCTCTTTCTAGTCCCTATCCAGCTCTCAGTGTAGCCTTTTGGATCTGCTGAAGGCTTTCTGTTTAGAACAGCCTGATTAAAATGGAATTACAAGAATGATTGTCCAATATTACTAAAATTAGGAGCAATCTGTTTATAAGCATTATCTTAGAATGCTTATTGGTCCTTCAAACGTAGGAGTGTTGTCCAACTATTACCTTAGGTGCCATTCAGAGGCCTGTTCTCTGTACATTTTTTTTTTTTAATAATCCCAGATCAAAGTGTGTGGGTGTGGTGAGGAGTGACGCTAATCTGGATTTTGTTCAGATCTTTGAACCCATAAGAGAATTTGATTAGGAAAGCTGGAGATTATTGTGCACTCCCATTATCGGTGACCAGAGTATAAATATCAGTACTGGAAACCATAATCGGGTGGAGTAATGAGTGGAGGAAGCAACAAAGAGGGGGGAGAATATTCAGATGAAAGGTTAAAAGCAGCACAAATGTGACACACTCATTCATTCATTCATTCATTCATTCATTCATTCATTGCTTGGAGAACAATAGTAGGAAACTAAATGATGAGTTACTTTTGTCAGTTACTCCCTCTTGACTTATGCGCTAACTCTAATAATGACTCACAATATTCAGCAGTTTTTCCTGTCACCAGTGCACAAAATGGAACTGGTCCCCACCCTTCCCCCAACCTTGGTTGTGCAATATTTGCACAACCAAGGTTGGGCTGATTTCCATTAAACAATTCTGGTAATTCTTGATCTTGTTTACAATGAACAGACCTGTGACAAGCAGGTTTGACCTCATGGATGTGTTGCAGTAAAATCCGATCCTATAGCTGAAGAACTGAAATATTCCACATCAAACCAAATCATCAGCAGTTTAAACCAAATAATGTGGCGATCTATGCGCTAGAACAATGAGAACAAGCCCTCTGTGAGCTCATCCTGTTATATTGTATAAACAAAAGACTGTGCTATTAATGGGAAACAGTCCAGAGGGAGTGACAGCTGCACAACAATCATAAACATGTGAAAATGGTCTGGCTGGAAACGTGCAGTGAAGTGGTGTAGTTGCATATAAGCTTTTGATTCTCTGAGTATTTAGAGGGAGAAGATATAAGGTCTCCTGTAGATCTGAGTGATCTGAATGTGCCTCAGTTTTAATGAGAAAAAGCATGATTGTGTTACTGAGATGCTGTTTTTGTTTGTGTGGTGCTTTCAGACAAACTGTAGGGGTTACAAAAAAGATGTATCCTGTGTCTTTGAAAGTGTGGGATTCTCTCTAAAATACTGTAGCGCATGTACCAGTGACCAGCAGGGGGCTCTAACAGAGACACATTGTGAAGAAGTTTATGAAATTTTAATGTTTTTTTCTCCAGAAAAGGACCAACCGCCAGTAGCTCGTGTTGTGTCGAGTCCACCCATCTCTTTGCCTGTCAGGACCGCCACTTTGGATGGATCTCAGTCCACTGATGACAAAGGTGGACTCAGCTACCTGTGGACCAGAGAAGACACCAGTCCTGCTGCTGGGGTGAGACGGACCTTTATAATCAGGCCTTTAACTGATGTTAGTTCTGGTTTAGTTTATTGCAGGGACCATGAGATTTAGAAATAAATAAAAATGTATTGTTTTTTGTTTTGTTTTGTTCTGTTTAATAGGATGTGCTGAACAGCTCCGACCACCAGGCAGTGCTGTTTCTTGGAAACCTGGTGGAGGGCAAATACAGCTTCATCCTGACTGTAACTGACAGCAAAGGACAAAGCAGCAAGGGGAGGGGCACGGTGGAGGTCAAACCAGGTAAGCAGACCTACAAAAACATGCATATGAACACATCCCCAAGACATACTCATTATTTTTAACAATACGTTTCTTTATTTCATATAAAAATTACTCCTTATGTTCAACTAAAGAGAATACACATTCTCAAAAACAGTTCAGAAAACACATCAACATTCAAAAACGTCTCAAAATGGGCTCAGGTGTGACTACATGTCATTGCTCCACATATAGTTGAGTCAAGAAGCCTGTGCTAACTGAATAAACAGAAGGCTGCTGGATAGATGGACGGGCAGTCAGTCCATTTTAGACTTTAATAAGTTAAACAGCCAACTGTTAAAATATTCACACAGTGATGGTGATTTTTTTCCTATGATGAAAGGAAAAAATTATATCAAAATTGATATGAAAATGGATTCATATCAACCAAAAACACCACTTCTTTCTTATCCAGTCTGTATCATTTGGTTTACTTTTTTTTTTTAATCCAAAAACAATCCTATAAGCTACTTGTGTAGAAAAGGAAAAAAAAGAAAAAAAAGAAAAAGAGGTTCATCAGTGTTTTATCACAACTTTGACCTTCCGGATCCAAACCAAGTAGAAAATGCTTTGAATGAAGTGAAATTTCTTTTGAAATAATCTTCTTATATGCCACTCTGACCCCTTCCTAAAACGTTTTAATCTTTTTCCACTGACTAAGCAACCTATGCATTTGTCTCTCGACATACAATTTGTCTGGTTTATTTCATACTGATTTAACTGTTTTACCAGGAGTGGATATCTAGGTATTAACCATTTATAGTGTTAGAGTGAAGGATGTTGAAGTTGTTCAAGTGTAAAAGCTTAAACATTTAAAATATTTTAAAACTTCCCGGTTTGGGGAAAAACTATATATTTATTTGTATAGTGTAGCAACGTAACTTGATACTGACCCACTGAAACTCTAATAAAACTGCTGATTATTTTCCGGTGATCAGTTTTTTTGTGGTGCAGTGTCCCAATAAATGACCTGTGGTTTCTATTCAGGCTTTTATTTTGTAGCCAGATAAAGATTCAAACGAGGGGAAAATAAATTCTTGTGATCGTTAAAAGACATTGTGGAAAAATATACTGAAACACAACTGCTGCATGGTTTATTTTTTCTTCAAACGACTCTGTGCATGCAAATGCTTTCCACACAGCAGGAGCCTCAACAACCAGCAGCAGAAGGTTGAGCAGGTCAGCACAGCATACGGTACACAGACACACACTCTGCCAGAAACGAATCCGTCACTTGGCGCTCTGGACTCTCTCCCAGATTTCAGGGAGTCAGATGGATCCTGCAATCTGCCCGTTTTCCTCATGTCACTTTTTCCGTCTCACTGTCACCTTATGTGTCCTCCCTCTTCCCTATTTTTCCCGTCTATCCATCAGACGTGCGGGAGCGGGACCTGGTGGAACTGGTGTTAGAGGTCTCCGTATCGCAGGTGTCCCAACGTCAGCGCGACATGCTGCTGCGACAGGTTGGGGTTTTACTGGGTGTGCTCGACAGCGACATCATTGTGCGAGAGATCAGTGCGTTTAATGAGCACAGGTGACTTTGTCTCCAGATTTTAGACAAGTGTGCAAACCTGATGATGAAAGTCATGAAACCAACTGTGAACAGAGCTGGAATTATCCTTTGACAGTTTGTTTGTTTGTTTTCCACCCTCTTCCTCCATTGTCAGTACTCGTTTGGTCTTCCTGGTGTCCGGCGGCCCAGGGCGCCCTCCGCTGTCGGGCCGTAACGTTGCACTCGGCCTGCGCAACAAACTGCGTAAACAGAAGAATGACTTCCTCATCTTCAAGGCCCGACGAGTGGATACAGTCAGTGAGTACCACATAAACGTTACGAAATGGAACAAGGAAAGGGGGAAAAGAGGTTTGATGCTTCTATGTTACAGCAGACTCTAAAAGCCTTGGTTTTTGGACATTCAAGGTCACAGTTGCATTGATTAATTTCTGATAAGCTCTTGAAATCATCAAGACAGTGTCTCCCAGTTTTGTTTTGTTTTTGCAAAAATGTAAAAATTTGTCCTATTATTAGATTCCTCTTAAAAATTCCTGGATCCATATTTTGATCTGCATTGACTCCTAAAATGAATCACTGCTAAGATCGGCCAGACCTCACTTCGGCTAAAAAGTCCTCCTGTGCCTGAATAGCTCTACAGCTTTGTCGCCAAATTGTAGCTGTGAGGAGGTTTCTCTTTAAGTTGATGAATTTTCTTTCATTAGCTGTCAACTGACTAAACCAATCAGTCGTTGCATGCTGTTTTTATGATGTACATAAAGCATAGATTTAATGCAGAAGAATAAATCTCACCGGATTCATCATTGAAGACTAGGTGTAACCCTGACCCATAATCTTATGTTTTGGCGGGTCGTTATTAGAAAAAGTATTTTGATGGGAGTCAGTTACAATGTCTATTCTTAAAATATCTATTCTTGTCTTTGATTTCCAATCTTTTGTCTTTTTTTTCAAAAGCCTAAAATCACAAATCACAAATTTTGTCAGCAAAAGGTTAAAATGAGGCTTCATATCAGATCAATTTGATTTATCCCAAAAGTATGGAAATTACTTTTACAGCAGCTAAAATAATAAACACAGTCTGTAAAAAAACTAATGTAGCTCAATAAAACAGAATATAACAAAAAAGCTCAGTTTGATCAAACGGAAAGATTAAAGAGCTCCATTAAACAGAATTGAAACCAAAAATTCAAATAAGATTGATCAAAAAGTAAATAATTGAATACAAAATAACTAAATGGCTCTGTAAGGTAAAACAAATGCACTAACACAAATAAAATAAAATAAATTAGAATGAAAATAAACTTACTAAATGTAGCAAAAATAACAACAGTTGACATTAAAGTGTACACAGAGTGTAAAACATGGTGTATTGATCACAGAAAATGTTTTTGAGTAATCCCACCTACAGACAAACTGAACTTATCACAGACACACTGTTTAATGCCATAAACCATAAAAATCAGACTGTTATTATTCAGTCATGCTCGTGCAGTCTGCAGTCTTTGGCTCGGTTAATGATGCAAGGTCAAAGTTTTAGATTTCTTAGCTATTTCTAAGTCATATAAGTATTTCTTTAGCACTTTAAATCTGCTGTTTACCAAGTTTTAAAGCTCTGACGGTTTATTGAACATTGTCGCTCTCCCTCCTCAGTCTGCCAGCTGAACTGCTCCGGCCACGGCGAGTGTGACTCATTCACGCGGCGCTGCGTCTGTCACCCTTTCTGGATGGAGAATTTTATCAGAGCTCAGTTCGGAGACGCAGAGAGCAACTGCGGTAAGAAGGGAGGCATTACAGTAAAATATAGAGTCGATAAACAAAAATCAATAAATAATCAATTTTATTGTTGTGAAAATCTGACCCAGCAGATTATTATTTTAATTCTGTTTATAAGAATCAGAATAAACTCTGTTGCTGTATTCAGGGACGCACGGCGAGTCTTTTGTGAATTTGGAGCCGTTTTAATATTACACACTTTTTACCACATCATTTTTTCTGTTTTCAGAGTGGAGCGTGCTCTATGTGACAATAGCATCCTTTATGATTGTGGTTGCTGCGGCAACATTTGTATGGGGGATAGTTTGTTGCTGCAACAGGTGAGTTTTTTACCTAAATTCTTTTTTAATATTCTGTCAGGGTTATTGTTAAATAACTTTATGGGGGTAATGGTCATTGATTCCCTGTGTGTTTATTTTCCTGTAAGGCGTAAGAGCAAAGTGCGCAGGAGTAAAAGTCGATACAAAATGCTAGAAGCTGACGACCAGGACTGTTTGGAGCTGCAACTGCCAAGAGCTGGTAAGATGGACGCGTTCACGTAAACTCGCACCACCGCCTGCATTTAGCCTGTTAACACTCACAGAAACAGGCAGACAGTAAATTCTGCTGCTTCTGTATTTTGACTGGAACTTGAACATCTTGAATCAAATTTTATAGAGATAACAACGATACCAGTACTTCCTTACTTTGTAATATGATTGCATGCACAGCTATGGTTTTTCTTTTGTGTATTTTTCTAAGATTATTTGTTTGGGCCATTTTTTTTCCTTTATTAGATTAGATTAGGAAAGTATATAGACATGAAAGCAAGGGAATATGCAGAGCAAAGGCCTGCAAGTTGACCCGAGTCGATGCTTTTGGCCTTTGTGGCACATTGCAGCATGAGCTAAACACCGTTTTCCAACTTTAGCAAAACTTTTTTTTTTTAAATGATGAGTGTGAATGTTGTTAGGTTAGTCATATTTACAGTTAATTTACCCAATGCCATTCAAAAATAACTACCCAAATAAACACTGAAGGTGTTAACAAATGGTAAGACTCGACTTTTTTCTTGTGAAGATTTCTTTTGATAATTAACACTGATGTAATTGTTTAGCCAATGTTTCTATTTTAGCCACAATACAAAAAACTTGATGTTTCAAAGACTGAGTTAAATTTTCTGCCTAGTCGATGTTTAGGACAGCTCCATCACACTGTTTCTTTCGCTTCTGTTCTCCTCTTTCTCGTTCAGCACGCCTGAAGCCTGTTCCTGCTCCCACTTCCTCTGCCCTCATGCACTCGGACTCTGACCTGGACAGTGACGAAGGGCAGGGCGGGATCCCGTGGACGGATCAGGAGCGCGGGCAGCTCCTGAGGCCTCAGAATGGCTCCCTGAGGAATGGCCAGGGGCCGGTAAGGGCCAAGAAGCAGAGAGAAGAGCAGCTATAGCAAGAGAGGAGGGGGGAGCTCACAGCTGCCCTCACACAGCTCTTCCCCTTCACGCCTCCTCTTTCCCCTTCGTTGGTCTTCAACACAAAACCTCACACTTCTCCTCTGTGAAGACAGACTGGGAGATACCTGAGTTAGGAAGAGGGAGAGAGGAGGAGATGTTGGGACCGTGTTGTCCCACTGTCACAGAAAAAACACCACGATACTGAAGCTTCCCTGCACCCACACTGAGCCAGAACGACGTGAAAAAGAAACTGCCATTACACTGAGAACCAGGGGTGAGCACTGTATTTTGAATGATATAAAATATTAATTAGACCCCTATTATTTAACACAGAGACATAAAGAATGTAGTGCTGCCCCTCTCCTGCTGCTGGCTTACAAAGGTTGGGAGACTGTGTGAGAGGAAGTAGCTCGAGTGACTTTTTAAGATGAGGAAAAACAAAACTGCTTCAATGACACGAAAACCAGCCACCCGGCACGCTCACACCTTGCCTCTTGTAGACACGCATGTACAAACACGTTGTATTCACGCCGTTTCAGGTCGACCTGATGCTACCAAACACTGCCATTTTTAAATTAATGGTTAACTTTGCTCTGATTGTTTCTGTTCATCTGAAGCATGACGGAGAGGAAAAGGAAAAAAAAGACAACCAACCAACAACCAAAACTGATCTGAGCTGCCAACGGCTCGGAGAAACCACCTCAGAAAATATTTTAAATAATTTATGTGCATGAAGAGCGACAGATTGCAGCTCTGGTACAACCTGATACGATCGGCTGCATGTTTGTATGTCAGCTGTATGTGTGGATTTCTGTGGCTGCTGTGCCAAAAGATGTTTCCTCGGAGCAGTTTTTTTGCTTCTTTTTTGTTTTTTTGCTTTTTTTTTTATGTTTTTATGAACCCACAGAAGAGTCACAGTGTTGTAAGGTTTTATTCTCAAGGCTTCTCTGTGGATTAAATAACTGGAGTACACAACTGTAACAAAGGTGGTCTCAGTGAGGAAGGCAGTTGGGAGAAAGATGAAGAACAGGAGATTGAAGGACAGACCGCTGCTTCCTCATCACCTTTGGTAATGTGATGACTGCTTCAACCCTGAAGACCACAGAGTTTTTGTTACTGTTTTTACAAACAACCTTTTGGCTGTGATTAGACGTGGATGCAGTTTGATTTTAATGTCTGCTGTCTCACTTTGTCTCTTGTTGGTTTAAAAAAAGGGAGAGGTTCGTATGTGACGGTTGGAAGTTGGGAGGTTCAGCCATAAACACAGGACTTTGCGGTACTGAATATGTAGGAAGAATGTCCATCAGTAATGTAATTCTCATGCTTTACACTCATCTCCATGATGCAAGCAGCTCTAAATTTTGCAGACTCGCAGCACACTTGGACAAGCATGCTCATTTTTTAACAAACTGAATGTTTAAATCCATCAAAAAGCCAAGTCACAATATCATTTTTCTGGATTTAATGGTATTCATCCTCTTCAGTCTGACCATTAAAAGATCTTCTTTTAAAGTGATTTTGATGTTATGGAGTTGGAGTAAAAATCCACAGGCTCTGTGCTGTGCAAAAACATAGAAACACAGTGTTTTTTTTAGCAAGGTTAAAACAGTTAAATCAGTTTATTTCTTCCAGAGTTTTAATTTTTTAATTATAGTCAACTCTGTGTTTTTTGAACAGTGTCATTATTAGGTATACAGAAACATTAAGAGTTTGTACTCTAATGTTTGTAAAATTAAGATATCTTAAAGTTGGAGTGTTAAAGTTGGCCGGGAGATGCAGATTTCAAGCTGACTCGGATGTGAGGAAAATCTTTGAAAAGGTAAAATATGTTTTCTGTTTTCTAATACAAACTTACTTTAAGTATACAAGTGAGCTGCACATCCGATCGGAGATAAAACTGTACTAAATCCCGAAAACAAATTATTTCTTCCCACGGACAGGACATAAGCAGGAGGTTAATCTGAAGGATGTTTGCGTACGCTTTGAGCAGATTACCAGAAATAAACCACGAACGGGGCCCAGCAGGAAGGCTTTGTTTGTTCATCAGCAGTAATCTGAGGTGTTTCTTGGCTGGACTGTACCGATAGACAAACTTTAGCAGAACGACTCTCCCCGACGTATCATCTCACAGTGTGATTGCTTTGCATGCAGAATGTGAAACTGACACATGTAAGTCCTCATCTGGAGGCACACTTTTCTATGTTCGTTGTTGAATGTTAAAAGGGTACATCATTGATTCAGTTCAGCTTGTACTCTGTGCGAAATAAGCTGGGGTTTGTTTTTGGGTTGTTGTTTTTTTTCTCAAATTACTGCAAAAAGTCATCTCATGCCGATGTTGGATCTGCTGCACTAAATGTGTTTTATTCGCACCTGCTGAATTTATCGGGCCATCTTTTTTTGACCTCCTGTGGGAGGCAAATTAAAATCAAGCACACCCAGGTGCCAGCAACGTCAAACCACTGAAAAAAATCTGTTGTCTTGTTTTGGGTTTTGGTTTTTTTGGTTTTTTTTTTTTTTTTAACATAAACAGCAAAATTTTCATCTAGACTCTTTTTTTTTTTTTTTTTTTTTTTTTTTTTGTCTCCAAAGCTCCTTTTACAGTTAAAAGGAGGACACAAAAATGTTGCGTTGTCTGCTGTTACGTTTGGGATTTGTTTAGATGCAAGTGAACTGACCTTGAGTCCACTGTGAAGGCAGAGATAAATGAGGAGAAACTATTAAATGAAAGGATGAAAGGGGTGTAATTGTTTTTGTTTTTAATATTTTATTATTAATAAAGTTTTAGTGAAGGATGACCCCTTCTTTTGTTCTGTGATCCTGCTGATGCAACTGGATAATGTGTAAATTAAAGTTAAAAAACAAAAAAACAGTGTTGGCTTGTTCTTGCTTTGTGTAATCTGAACAAAATTACCTCTGATTAAGGTAAAAAAAAATACTTTTTTTTTTCTCTGTGCTTTCTCTGTGTCTTTGTATTAGTTGTTTTTCTCCACAGCCTGCACAATTCAAAGGAAACGCCTTTGTGTGATCTGAGAAAACTTTGTGGGAAAAAGCCTGGATAAAACTTTTGAGGTGTTTGTTTTGCTCTGAAATGGAGATGAGTCATTTTTATATTGCACAAAAATTCTGCTTTATCACCTGGTTGGAAAAAAATCTAATTTCTTTGTTTCGCGTTCGTTACATATTATAGGGTTGGTATAACATTTACTTTTCTGATTACAGGGGATCCAAACACCCGTGTATCGGACTGATCCTCTGGTTGGTCTTTTCATTTACTTTTATAAGCCTGCTGCCCTCGATGGTTTGTCCTTTGCACATTTTGGGAGATAATGGAGTCCTTAAAAGATGATAATCGAGGTCTCCCTTCTCTGTCCTGTTATTCCTCCTCACTGTGGATCGATGCCTGTTTATAACACTTCCTATCACTGGATGGATATTTATTTTTAAGACTAGACAAGTGACATGTAAGATAAATACAAATGTGCTTTTAGGTGATCTCTGTGAAAATGGGACTTCTTTATTGAAATCTTTATTTCGGCCAAAAAAAATAAGGTAAATAAGAAGACAGGATAAATATTTGCATGTTTTCAACGTCTCTGCAGTCAAAGTTTTGCTTCTTTTCTCAACTATTCGCAAATACAGTGTCTTAAACATGAAATGGGACAAATCATGAATGTGCAGCTGACAAATCTGTGTGATGCTATCATGTCGATATGGACCAAGATCTCTCAGGAATGTTTCCAGCACCTCCAATTTCACATGAATACAGTGTCTTAAACATGGGACTATAGAGAATTTATATTTATGTTATCATAATGTTTGTTTGTTTGTTTTTTCACTTAAATTTGAGTTAATTCGCAGAAGTATGATAGTGACTGTGACCACCAGCTTTCTTCAGTGAGTGAATGAGTGTGTGGTGCTGATGATCCACAGCCACACTCCAGGATGGGGGCCTCTCAGGAAACCTGGGAAAGACTCAAAGAGGCTCCAGCTCCAGCAACACTTGTAGTGTAAAGAACAGCTTTATCACTTGACCAAGTAATAATTAATACTTGGTACGACAAGTGTTGCTGGAGCTGGGCCTCCATTCAAGCAGGTGAAGTGCTAAAAGCATCTTTAGTGACTCCACACAGACCATATATAAATATATTTGTTTGTTTGAATATTTGTGGGAATAACTAAGGGGGGTTTATTGTATCCCGTTCTGTGTAAAACAAACGCTAGATTGTTTGGTTATAACAATAAGAACCCTTAGTTGTCGCCCTTATTTAAATCAGTGAAGTCACTTCATTGCTTTTGTGCACATTTACACAGTTGTGTCCATGTTTTCTGTATGTGTGACAGCTTTTTTCCAGTCTGTAAAGTGGGGCAAACATGCCCAGACAAGAAAAAACGCACCACATGAAATACACAACTCTGCGTGTTTTTCCTGCAAATGTTCGGAGGAACATCTCCTTTAGAGGCGCTGCCTCTTCTGTTATTTTTATGATGTCATATCTCACTGCCTGCAGATATGTTGTTACGAGGGGAAGAAAAGTACTTAGTTCTTCTATGTTTTCCCCTCTGCCTCTCTTCGTATATTGCTGCCCTCTGCCTCTCGCACTCCTTATATGGGAAAGGAATTAGTTGCGCGAACAAGGGCGGAAACGTGGCGCGGTGAGCGCTGGGTAAATTCAGCGACATACAGGAAGAAAGAGAGGAAGCCCAGTCTGCTTACTGCACACTCTCACAGCAGCGACAACATAAAGGACCGAATCACTGCTCGACCAGTTTAGCAGGTAAGCAGCCGGTGTGCTGTCCTTTTTGGTATTTGCACTGCGGGGTTTGTGACTCGATTTACGGCTTTCTGCAGAAGCGGAAAATCAAATCTGAGACGAGAGAGAGAGAGAGCGCACAGCCGCTTCCTCCTTCACCGAGAATCATTCAGAAATTACATCTTGAGTTCGGTGTGATGCTAACGCAGCCGGCTAGCCGAGGTTAGCCGCAAAAGCTGACGCTGGTCTGACTTAAACCGTTAACATGTCTGCAGCCCTGTAGTCAGCCTTTACTTCGTCTTGCTGTGCTCTCTTATTAAAAGTGGAAACTTCTCTTTTTAGTCTTTTTTTCTTCCCTTTCCTCTGCAGAGTAGTGCAGCATTAGCTGACACAGGGAGGGGTGTGTGTGTGTCTCAGAGGAGAGAGAGAGAGGAAAAAAATCCAGGAAATAGTCAAACTGACAGCAGACGCTCAACGGCAGGGAGGGGACGTATAAAAACACCACCCCAGCTTTTTTTAAAATATGTGTCGACTTTGAATAAGGTGGTGTAATTTAAAAAAAAAAAAAGAAGAGGTTTATCTGGGGTTACGTTAGCTAGCTCTGGTTGCCGGCGTTGGTGTTGTGGCACATTTTGTACCCCTTTAAATAATTTCTAAGCGGTGTAACGGCTCTTCAGGACGGCTTAACGCTATTTCCTAATCTGTAACTCTTCAGGACACTATAACGTTACTTGAGAAAGGTGTTTCTTAACCTCAAGAGCCACGAGTACACAATAAAACTGTTTAACTGAGGTTTGAGTGGTGGGGCTAAAGTTGTAACGGCTAGCTTTAGCCGGTGATCGCATTATCAGCAGCGGCTTGAGCGCGATTTGGTTGAGCTTTGAGCCCACCGAAGTAGGTCTGGGAGGGCGCCCTGCTTTCCATGTCTGCCACGGTTACAAACAGTGTTTCCCTATGCAAATAGATTTGGAAGAAAAGCTGAGGTTGCAAATGCAGGAGTGGACGCTCGCTCCTTTATGTCTGGACGTCTTGCCCCCAGGCAGACACACAAACCCTCACACAGGCCTAACTAACCTACTTCACTGCCCCTGCGTGCTGATGGGAGCTCTGTGCACAACATTTCTTCCATATAGACAACAAATGAGGTCGATGAGATCAGTTTGATAGGGTTATAGGCAGATTTCAGATTTTTAGTTACAAAGGTATTATTCATTAGTACAATACACTAGAGGACTAATGAGAGACTGCCACTCCTCATCTAAAGACTACTTGGAATTTGTAGTCAGACGTTAAGATTTTGCATAGACTGGGGTCACTATTTGCAAGGAGACAGGTAGATTCGTTTTAAGCTAATTTCCCATAGTGCACTGCGTGGAAATGTACAAAAAGCTAAAGTTGCTGAAAGCAGGCTTTTGGCCACACCTGCTCTTGTTTGTGCAGTGGTTTGTTCTGAAAAACCAGCCCAAAAGGGAATAAAAAGGGGAGTAAATGCACCTGTTGGTTGTTGATAGTACTAATGTGTTTGAGTTTTAATATTTGCATAAGTTGAGACAACAAAAAAAGAAATGCAATATGTAAACTACGTGAGGAAGACCATGCTGATTGAGCTTTATGATCACTTTACACCAAATGATTGAGATAAGAGCATGCAACAACTTTACAAAACTCCCAGTTTTATTGCAGCATCAGTCATTTGTTTGCACTGTTTGAAAGTGTGCCTTCATACTCCTGGTATGAACTACAAGCTTCTATAATTGTACATGCTACAGATTTAGCTTTAATCTAAGGAAAACAGAACAGAAGGAATGACTCCCTGGCTGCCGTCACGTCTCTGGTTTTGTCTTCGTCTGTAGCGTTTCCTTGGTGGTCAGCACTTGGCCCGAGCCTACGCCGCCACTTTGCTTTGGTGCACATAAAAATAAGCATTTGAAGTGAAGTAACTGGGCATAAAGTAAACTCAAATGTGCTTTGCTCTGGGATTTGCAATTTGCTAGATATGGATAAAGTTTGTTAGTGTTGGTGTAAACAACAGTTAGCCATCTACAGGGCTGGGTTTGTGTTGTTGTTGTTGTTGTTTTTTTCCAGCTGTTACACCATTTAGGGGCCACTCCCTCCCTGTGCTGCAGGTGAGTCATGTCTCATGAGACCAGGAAGTGCTGGACTCTGGTATATGCAGGTATAAATGCTCACTGCCGTGGTGCTAAACAGAATGTGGGTCAAGGGTAGAGAGGGCTTTTGTTTCCTGCTGTGATCTAATTCATCTCAGAGTCTGCTGCACAAATTAATGCGTAACTCTCTGTGAAAGACAGAGGAAAAGGGGAAGTTTAGGTATTGTGTGCTTCTTATTCAGTCTGCTGTAAAAGGAAGAAATAGTGCAGTCTTTTAAAAATAACTTCATGTAATGTCTTGCCACCTCACCTGCTGATAACTCTATTGAATGGAGTCACCTAACAGCCTCAGGGTTGATATAATGCATAACTGCCTCTCCTATTTAATGATCAGAAATCAAGTCGAAAGGCTGATTTTTAGTGATGCAGTATTTTACCTTTATTTAACCAGGAAGTCTGACTGAGGTAGGAGTCATGCAGACTCAAAGCATTATTAAAACTGCAACAAATGCAACATAAAATATCAGATCCACACATGATATACACCCCCCCACCCCCCCACACAAACACACACACACACACAATAAGTTGGTTCCTAAGGAAAAAGATCCATGCATCTTGTTCACCATGTTCCTTATGATGGTTTT